GCCATCTCACCAGCCCTCAGCATAATTTCTTGCAGCCAGGGTTCTGGCTGTTATAAAAACTGTAAGATCAAATACACTAATGGGTCAGAAAACTTGCAGGAGAGGAATGGAGTTAGTTCAGAAGAAATAGAATAATCAATGACCTTAGATATTTCAGACAAATATATATATATATATATATATATATATATATATATATATAAAATTTTTTTAAGGTGGGGATATAAATAGCACAAACACAACACAGACACATAGAAACAAAAGCCATCAACTCAACGTTTTGTTTGAAAACTTGTTAGGTCTAGAGGACTGTTCACAACCACAGCTGCTAATGGTTATGGATTTGGCAATCAAAAAGTCTTTGTTTAAAAAAATAAGAAGTTTGAACTGCCTCACTATTGAGGTTACAAACCACAGCCTTGATGCATCAGTGCAGTCAACATCCTCCCTGCTGTTTCTGAGAGCTTACATCTGCTGCTGGCAGATAAAACGCTGGTGAATAGAATAGCACAGGCTCCTTCCAGGGGAGAGGCAGGGCAGCTCTAAGGACAGGCTCTGGTCTACCTTTCTCCCTGCCCCAAGCCCAGTCTGTCTCTCCAGCCCTGTCTGGATGATCTCCTGCCATTACTCAGGAGGGCTGACGACCTATGTAATTTTTTTTTCTGGCACAAACTAGCCAAAGTAGACTTAAAAAATAAAAGCAAGACAAGTTCTTATTTCAGGGTAAAGCACGTTAAGCACATTAAAAAAAAAAAAGCCATTTGAAACTTCATTTTATTTTATTTATTTATTTATTTTTTATTTTTTATTTATGTGTGTGTGTGTGTGTGTGGCCAGCTCAGCCCACCAAGGGGCGGGGCTGGCTGGCATGTGGTGCTGGGGGATTGAACCGTGGTCCCTGTGCTTTGCTAAGCTTGTTCTAAGTAGGTGCTTTAGACCACTGAGCCATCTCACCAGCCCCTGAAACTTCATTTTAAAGCAATAGCTAACAAAACAATTTTATGGTGTTGTTAAGAAAAACAGGGGCCAGGGAGATGGCTCAGTAAAATAAGCACTTCCCTGGCAAGCGCAAGGGCCTGAGTTCAATCCCTGGTTCCGCCAAAAAAAAAAAAAGAAAAAAGAAAAACAAAGGGATCACACTATGTCAAAAATAGTGAGGGCTTAAGATAGTTTCATTTATAAAAGAAAGGCCAAGAATTTGAGGTCAGCAGTAAGTTACTGAGTCTCTTTACGGAACAAAAAACAAACAGAATGGAGAAGTAAAATGTGGTCCAAGTCACATAGGAAGTTAGTTTCAGTTGAAATAAAAATGATTATATCCATGCTGATTTTCAAAAAGATGCAGCACAGCTGAATTAATAAAAAATGGGAGCTGCAATGCTACAGGAAGACGGGCTGGGGACTGTGTCCTCTGGAGGGTTCTAAGTAAGCTGACTTACGAGGAAAATGAAAAGCCATATGTAGTAGGCTAATGATTCTTAATAGCAGGATGCCAGATCTGGCAAGGTGTATGTGGGGGGGGAGGGGAGGGCTCATGCTCAAAAGGGGTACAAGGTCTAGGAATGTAGCTCAGCAGTACAGATGCCTAGCATCTGCAAGGCACTGGCTGCCATCTCCAGTGCTGCCCAAGCAAAACAAAACAAAGCAAGATGAGACTTAACTGCATGTTATGTCTACCTCTCAGAGAGCCATAATGTGTACTAGGATATTAAGCACTCTGAGAAACACTGTGGTAAACAAATTTGTTTTTTGGCAGAAATGGGGATTGAACTCAGACCCTTGAGTTTGCCAGGGAAGTGCTTATTCCACTGAGCCATCTCCCTGGACCAAACAAATTTGTTTACAAAGACATTTATGTGATGGACTAATTTGGAAATACTGTATAGGATGATCATTCCTAAACTCTCAAGTCATTTACTCAGAAACAAGAATGAGGCTGAAGGGGCCAGAGAGATGGCTCAGTGGAATAAGCGCTTTCCTGGCAAGCGCAAGGGCCTGAGTTCAATCCCCGGTTCTGCAAAAAAAAAAAAAAAAAAGAGAGAGAGAGAGAGAGAGAGTCTTTGTATTAAAAAAAAAAAAATAGAATGAGTCTGAAAGTCATACAGCGCTTACACAGCATGTGTCAGGCTCTGGATTCAATCTTCAGCAGCACCAGAAAACCGCAGCTGGTATGACAAAAAAGGCAACTACATTTCATACACCACAGAACTCCAGGTCAAAGAGAAATAGGTAGATAATTACCAAGCATTGTATAGAAGTTTTCCAAAGCAAACCAAGGCTACAACTTTTAAAAGTGACAAGATCTGAGCTGGGTATATTGGCACATGACTGCAAGCCTCACATCACAAGCTGGGGGGCAGCCTGGGAAACTTAGTGAGACTGTGTTTCACAATACAACAATAAAAAAAGCCTAGGAATCCAGCTCAGTGGTACAACACCTTAGGTTCAATCTCCAGTACTTCCAGAAAAAATAAAAACAGGTGGTACAATTCTTATTCAATACATAGTTCAAATTATGACTAGTATCAATTCTAAACATATTCATATTCTAGCTTCAAACATAGGAAATAAACAGTAATAAAAAGCTGCAAGCCACAAGAAAAGTAGTATGGGATTTCTGTGTTTGAGGAAGCCTACAGGTTGCTGGCATTACAGTGCCTTTGAATGTCACACCTGAGGGAAATTCGTAAGGAGAGCTGCTAGGACCTCCAGCCAGAATATATGGAGGTGTCCTTCCCTCTACTGCTGCCCTCAGCAACCCTGGGATGCAAAACTGAATATAACCTCCGAAAGGGGCATCGTGCTGACCTAAAAGAGACGCTTGCTTGTGAAGCCAAAGATTTGTTTTGTTAATTAAATACCTAACTCCTGTGTTACAGCTTGTGTCTCGGTGTCTCCACAAAACCTCATGTGGTCACAGGTGGGGCTTTTTAGAGGTGGCTGGATCCGGAGCACACGAGGCTGGGACCAAGGGTGTGTGCATCCTGAATTAGTCCACTAATTCGTCTGGTGTAGTTCTGACAGCAGACAAATGGGAAGGCCCACCTGGTGGAGTACTGCCTGCCCTAAGGGCATGCAGGCGGGATAGGCTACAAGGGACAGAGATAGGGCTGCTGTCCTCACTTACTTGCTTTGCCCTTCTGCATTTGCTGTCTTCTCTGCTTTGCTGGCCCCTGCCCATCGTGAACTGTTTTGCTCTTCAGTGCCCCTCTGCCACGCCACTCTGCCTTGGAGCCACTTGATTATGGACTGAAACCTCAACAAACTGTGAGCTAAATAAATCTTTCTTCCTTTAACTTTGGGGGTTGGGTATTTTGTTTCAGCAATCAGAAAAGTAAGACATGCTGTAACCCTCATAATGCTCCACACATTAGGATTATAGTTTCTTACCTTTTGCTATTCTACTTTCTGGCCAAAAAATGACTGGCTGTCTGGAGACTGCAATCAGTTGACCTTGTATCAGATAGTGGTTTGCTTCATCAATAAATCAAGCCCCCTGCCCATTTACATCACCAGAGGCTAGAAGGTTCTCTTTTAGAATACAAACATAACACAAAGAGAACATAAAGCATTAAGTTATACTAAGCTATTAACGACTGCAAGTCTCTCAAATGGCAAGGCCAGTCAGGCATGGTGGCACATGCACTCTAAAGGCTGAGGCAGGATTGCAAATAGAAGCCCAGTTTGGCTTACACAGCTGTCTCAAAAAGCAAAACCAAAACTGAAGCAAACCAGACAAGCCAAACACAGACTGTATAGCCCAATATAAGGTATTCTTATAACTATTAGTTCTACACTAAAAAAAGAGGAAGAGGGCTGGGAACATGTAGCTCAGTGGTACAGCGCTTGCTCAGTATGCTTGAGGCTCTGGGTTCCATCTCCAACAAGTAAAACAAAAAATAAAAAATAAAAACAAACTAAAGAGAAAGTAGTTTGAAAAACAAAACAGTGAAAATGTTAAGCTGAAGCACATTTTCTTAAGCACAGTTTTAGAAGTCCTATTGCCAGAAGTATATTAGCTGTTTAAGGAACAGGAAAACCATGCTGTAAGGTAGCAATTCATGTTTCAAGGATGGACTTCCACATTTTGAATTTTTGACAGTCTGAGTCTAAACACAGAGACCCTACATTTCAGGAATTTCCTGATTAAGTTAGTCCTTCAGCTCCCTCTACTGTTAAAAAATGTACTTTAGTTATGTCAGTTCACTCTTTAGTTTTATATACATATATACACGTTCATCTGTATATTTATACATACTCTAAATATGACACAGTCCAAGCAACCAAAGTTCAAATATGCCTATCATAAATTCAATATCCTGGAGCAAATGCTCCAAAAGAAGCAAGAACAGATCCTTCCTTTTGCAAATAAGGAGAGGAAGAAGGGTTGAAGGGAGGGAAGGGGAATGGGGAAAAAAGAGGAATCAAGATATATCATGCAGGGGCCAGAGAGATAGCTCAGTGGAATAAGTGTTTGTCTGGCAAATGCAAGGTCCTGAGTTTGATCCCTGGTACCACCAAAAAATAAAAATAAAATAAAATAAAAGGCATATCATGCACAGGTACAAATTCCCTGTGATGAATGTGATCATTATGTGTATCTAAACTGTACCAATAAACTTAATTTAAAAAAAGAATAGATTCCTCCACACCCACCCACTCAAAATGATTCAAGAGATAACAAGATTTCTCCACCAAAAGAAGCAAAGTTGTATTAACGGATGAACACCATAAGCTTAGCAGCGGGACTGTGGCAACACCTCAGCGGGGTACAGGTGGAAGCCCCGTCCCCACGAGAAACCAAAGTGTCACTAAGTCTTGTCAGTTTCTGACCTTACTTCCCTTTCCCCAATATACCCTTATTGAACGGCTCCCTTTTTCTCCATATGTCTAAATGTAATTACTAGCACCTTATTTTCTTCAGGATAGTCTGGTTAAGATTTGTGAGTCCCACTGTAATAAAACCAAGCACCTGCCCAAGAAAAGTCTTCTTTACTTGCCTGCTCCTTAAATTGTTTCTGGGACAAGCAATCAAGTAGATCCACACAGCCCAGAAGGCAACCTGAAGGGTAGTCACTGGGAAATTCCACATCTGAAGGAAGACAAAAGGGAAAATTAGACAAATGTTTTCTCTGTCACCCTAGAACTCAGGAATATGTTTTTAATTCTCAACAAATAACTTTTCCCATTATCTATTTGCAGACATAAGGGAAACAATGAGGCTCTGTTTGGCACAACTGTTTGTGTTTTAGCAAAAAGCCTAGTGAGTAGCTAGCTTAGTTTACTATCTGCATACTAAGCTGAAAACTTTTTCTATAGAAAACTATTCCCTTACTTATTCCATTAAAGCTCAAGGACCCTACAAGTTTATTGAGAACAAATCTCTTCTACAATACTCAGCTGGATCATAATGGGGTTTGTGGTAATTAGTTTGGGAAACAAAGAAGACAACAACAAGTGACAAGAGAAAAACCATAAAAATATGGCAAAAAAATCCCTCTTCCTTGTAAGCTGCCCAAGATCTGTGAAAATGGTTTGCTACTCTTTTGACCCAGAAAACTCTATAAAAATCATGCAAATCAAGAAGCTAGGGACCAGGGAGATAGCTCAGCAGTAAAAGCACCTGCCAGGGTTCCAAAGTCCTGAGTTTGATCCCAGTACCCAAAAAAAAAAAAAAAAAA